CCCCTCCCCCTCCCCCAGGCACTAAACCATCATTACTTGAACCGTGGATTTCACAAAACACAAAAAAAATGTCACAAAAAAAAATGTCACATCTCATCACCTCATACACAACATGACAGCCCTGCCTACACTATAAATACAACGCCATATGCAAAAGAAACACAGCGTTCGTAGAGCTATGCACGAACTTAAGTTAAAAATGGTATCTGCTGATACAAACATTGGTCCGACGGTAATCGTGTCCATGGCCAAAAATAGTCGCGGTAGGACATAAATAAATCGAACAGATACAGAACAGATAACGTCAAAGTCAAGACGTTGAAAGCACGAATTTCATTTTGGAACTAACATATTTTCAACCATGACGGGACGTGTTTTTGTGACTTGTGCATTGTAAGACCTTTAAGACATCTTAATAATCAAGTATCAAGACCTTTTTACATTAACAAATGGATCTGCGGACACCCGTAAAAGAATTATCAAAATAAAATGCAAAACAAATAATCAAATGTTATGACTTTGCTTACCTTCCATAATTGAGTCAAACAAGTGTCGATACCTATCAAAGAAAATTATAGGCCTATATTCAGTGCCAATGCGAAAGAGATTGACATAAATATTTTTTTTTTATTAAACATAGCCTACATCAAACTTTATTTTATAAAAGATAAATCATGCAAATCTATGGTTACACCAGAACAAATTTGTACTTACGCTGATGATACTCCTGCATGTATGATCCTTGAAGTTGATCATCATCGCTGCCTCCGTCATTGGTGTCGATTTTGGACCAATCAAATTAAACTGGTCAACGCACTTAGACCAATCAAATAGCTAGCTTTCAGGGTACTCGAGGTTAAAAAAGGTAAAGGTACATTTTGGAGGAAGGGTGACGGCACCTGACGGCTGGTGTGAATAGGCCTATGCTATACGTTTACAGCAAGTTTGAAAATCCCATTACACCCCACAACACCCCCACTCCTCATTCACTATGACAAATGCATATCATCTGCTTGAACAGCTTGAACTTCAAACAAATTGGTGTTGAGCTCGCAGCCTCGCACACTGTCTGTAATCTGTGCAAATGACCGAGCATGGACCTCCTAACATCACTCTTATCCCCTTTCCACTGAACCTTCAACAGTTTGTCTGAATAGACTTTCTTTGTTACCGTGACGTAAATTTACTCATTGATTTTCGCGCACACAGCCTTCACGTTAGCCCGGTTCCTGTTCATTCGGGCTAAGGTAGTGCGCACGCACTGTAAATCTCTTGGGTAGGATTTGGGGTGTGGAGTGCGTGCGTATTACACGCCAAAAAGTGCGTATCATATGCACGCGAAAACTGCGTATCATTTACACGCAAAAACTGCGTATCATACGCAAAAACTATTTTTGGCTTATAAATGGCACGAGAAATTAAATTCGTGGTATAGATACGCACTTTCATAGTGCAACATTAGTGCAAGTTTACCTTAAGATAGCATGCAGTGAGGTAGCCGAGACAGGACGCGGGACAGGCGCGTATAGCCGTGAGGTCGCGGGACAGGCGCGTATAGCCGTGACAGAGCGCGGGACAGGCGCGTATAGCCGAGACAGGACGCGGGACAGGCGCGTATAGCCGTGACAGTGCGCGGGACTGGCGCGTATAGCCGAGACAGACGCGGGACAGGCGCGTATAGCCGTGACAGGTCGCGAAACAGGCGCAGTTAACCGTGACGGGTCGCGGGACAGCCGCGTATAGCCGTGACAGGCGCTTATAGCGGTGGCGGTTAGCGGGACAGGCGTGCATAGCTGTGACAGGTTGAGTGGCAGGCGCACATAGCTGTGACAGGTCGAGTGGCAGGCGCACATAGCGGTGACAGGTCGAGTGGCAGGCGCACATAGCGGTGACAGGTCGAGTGGCAGGCGCACATAGCGGTGACAGGTCGAGTGGCAGGCGCACATAGCGGTGACAGGTCGAGAGACAGCTGCCAATAGCGGTGACGGGTGGAGTGACAGGTCTCGGTGGCAGCTGTCCCTGCCACGGAAAGATTTTACTCCCTCTCCCTCAGCTCCACCTACGTCCTGCCTTTTTGCCCATTTTCTGTTATCCGGTAGTGACGAAAGGTGACGCGCTGCCAAGATGGCGACGGCTGGCCCCGCCCACTTTAGGCTTCAAAAACGCTCTTCAGAAACCTACGGGTGACGTCACGGACACTACGTCCATATTTTTTTACAGTCTATGGTTTTTTTCCAGGAATGAACACGTCTCAATATTCCTCATTTAAATAATTCCCACCCACGGCAAATGCAAAATAAAGGGGCGGAGCCTGGTTGAGTTGCAGTAAGGTAAGGGTAAGTAAAGGCCTGTTCACACCGGGACGAATTTCGCGCGCGATATTCGCCAACGTTTAACGCCTCGTGACTAAACAAAGGGCGCCAATGTGAGTGTGCACACCGACGCGAAAAACGCCACGCGTAAAAGCGTCATTTTTTTTTAAAAAACGCCTCGGGTTCGTTTTTTTAGTTTGACGCGCCGCGTCAAAAACTATCCGACCAATGAGATTGGCGCTTTTGCTCACGTGTCTGGAGCTTCTGAAGTTACAGTAAAACACAACTTGGGGGCGCTCAAACACAAAACGGTCTTGCCGAGCACACATACGTAACGGCGAAGAAGATATACGCCAAGTAGCGTCTACACTGCCGGGAAGAAATAAGACGAGGAAGATGCAAGGCAAGATGAATGTAGAGCTGCTGGTCTCGTTGGTGTCGGAACAAAGAACTATATGACAAACGCGACAGCGACTATATCTAAATCTTAATAAAAGAGAATGTTATTGAGTGGTATTGCAGAGCAAATGGGCGCCATCTAATGTCAGGGAATGAATTTGCATGTCCACTCGGCTCATCGTCAGCGAAAATCGCTTGGGTGTGAACACAAAAAACGCGTTGATAAACGCTGGCGAATAACGCGCGCCGATATTCGTCCCGGTGTGTACGAGCCTTTACGGTGACATTTCCGAAACAGGCTCGAAGTGGTTGAGCAATCACAACTCACTCATCCAGCCGACCAATCAGAGCACAGTGTGCTTTTCAGAAGGAGGGGCTTCATAGAGACTGGAACTAAACTGAACGTTACTGACAGACTGGGAAAGAGGTCCTGCAAAAGTTTAAAATATGTGACAAACAATGTGTTTTTGAAAACTCAATCATGAAAACTTATTCTAGTAGAGCGCAAAACAAAATCAAGACTTTGTAAAAGGGCCTAATAGATCCTCTTTAAAAAACAACAACCCAGAAATCAAAACACTGATCTGAAGAACCTGTAATGAAACACCAAGAACTTGTTTCATCTATATAGGAAGTAAAGAAAACTGTACAGCAAATAAAAGTGCTTTTAAAACCATTGCAATGCGTAAATATAAAAACAGAACTTGTGTTTGGCAACTTAAACCGATTGTTTCTTTTATCATTTTTCTATCCACTCAAAACAACACTGACAGATCCTTAACCACGATCATTAACCACTTTCAAATCAAGATAACAAGTTTGTAAAGCCCCTAAAAATCCTAAAAAGCATGTGTATTCATGTATATGTAAATTAATTTCAAAAGAAAAAACGAATTAAATGTGAAGGGACTTTTTTTAACGCATGACACTTGAATAAAGGATCTTTAACACGTTTCATGAAACATTAATGATCAGTTTCGATGATCGGCACAAATTTCCATATTGGTTGACAGTAGTGACGCCAATCAAAACCAGCAAGAGCATGTGATAAGAAATCTGAGTACTGTGGTGGTACTATGGTATCAGATGTTAAAGTGACAGTTCACCCAAAATGTTCTCTCATCATTTACTCGCCCTCAAGCGTTTCAAACCTGTATGAATTTCTTTCTTCTGCTGAACACAAAGGAAGATGTATTGATGAATGTTGGTAATAGGGCTGTCACTTTTAAGAAAAATCGAATTCGAACGGATATCAAATATCAAGTAAATGTATTCGAATATCTACGAGCCGTTCTGTGAGTTATCTTCCATTTTCAAAACAGGATGGCTATTGGCTATTATTCGCTGGATTTGGTCATGGGCCTACGCTACAATGCGTTTAGAGCGCCCGCTACTGGATGAGATGGCAAACAATAAAATAAAAAACAAACGGTCTAATCATAGACTGTAAAAAATGCGCTACACATGGCACTTTAAAAACCGGATAGTTTATTTATAGTTCGATTACGGATATTTCACGTCATGTTCGAATGAATATTCGAATATCGAATAAAAAGTGACAGCCCTAGTTGGTAACCGAACAGAAGCCCCATTGACTTCCATAATATTTTATTCTATACTATGGAAGTCAATAGTGCCCATCAACTGTTTGGTTAGCCATATTCTTCAAAATATCTTCTTTTGTGTTCAGCAGAAGAAAGAAATTCATACAGGTTTGGAACAACCTAAGTAAATGAGAACAGAATTTTCATTTTTTTTTTTTGGTGAACTGTCACTTTAATACAAAAATACTTGCAATGTCATGCTGCTCAATGATTTCATATACTTCAGAGAGATGTGTATGAACAGATGCCCACAAATGAACTGAAGCAACGTTGTAAAGAAGAGCGGGCCAAAATTCCTCCAGAACAATGTGAGAGATAAGGCAGTCATATAGAAAATGATTACTGCTAAAAGTGGCTCTACAAGCAACTGAATAGGGTGTACTTAGATTATCACATATGGCTTCTCCATTTTGGCTTTTATTTTTGTTAAATAAATAATGACACAGTGTAATATGTCATGTGTTGTTGTATTTACCTCATTTGCTGCTAACGACCGGATGATATTTTATTATATCCTGGTACGTAAAACCATAAAATTCAAAAGAGTGTACTTTCTTTTTCACATGTATATCATGATATTAATGAGTTACCTTAAGGTACTTTAACAATACCATGTTACTGATGGTGCGACCAGTCCATAAACATGCTACATTTTAGATCGTTTTGTTAGTGTGAAATGTCTTACTTGTTAATCTGCAGTCTGTATCTGCTGGCGTTCAGGTGGTGGTCGCTCGTTTCCCAATAACAGGTGATGCTGATGTACTGCAGAATCACACACTGTGTGATGGACAGTGTCAAAGAAGCTGCTGCTGCTGAGAGAGTTAGCACATGTTTAATGGTGTTTCTAAACACAAAGAAAGTGTCTCTGGGCTTATTGCATAAAATAACAACATATAAAACATGTGACAACTTGCCTCACCCTGGCATCATGACAAGTAAATACCCTTGGACCTGAGAATATAGTTCAAAATCTTTCCATTAAAATCTTTTTTTCATATTTATTGAGCATGTGTGTAATTGGATCTTTTGGTTGAAAGTTTATAGCTACTGGGATTGAGCCCTCAGTGTGACAACTAGCCCCGGTCCGCCCAATATAACTCATTTTGACACAAAAATAGCAGGTGTGCAACAACAACATACAGCCGGTGAGCATCAACCCCTGCAGCAGTGTGTGTGTGTGTGTGTGTGTGTGTGTGTGTGTGTGTGTGTGTGTGTGTGTGTGTGTGTGTGTGTGTGTGTGTGTGTGTGTGTGTGTGTGTGTGTGTGTGTGTGTGTGTGTGTGTGTGTGTGTGTGTGTGTGTGTGTGTGAACTGAACTCAAAACAACCAGCCGTACAGATCAGGTTTCAGATAAAGGGCAAGAAATAATCCAGTGCTGGGAATCACAAAGAAACTCTGAGCTGGACACACACACACTGAATGATGTCACAACACAACCACAAACATGTGCTTCATTTTAACTGCCGTTTTGCAACATTGTTGTGGGTATTGGTAACGGTGGCCCAATACTTGTAATAGTGTGAATGAAAAAACATTGTGCCACAATGCATTGTTTCTTTCTCTTTCTACACAGTTCAGTCAAATGCATTATGCAAAATGTTTAATTACTGATTCAGCTGAAATATTATATTTTTTAATATTACTTTGATATTAGGTGTACTTCTGAAGAACATACAAAACTATCAAATATAATCCTTATATTGTATTAATAAGAAGTAATCATTGCAACATGTTCATTGTGTCTGCTTAACTAAATAGGCTACATGATGTTAAATAACCACATAACTTGAATTATCTATGATTATATATTACTGCCATATGGACTTAACTTTGACACTCATCTCTGACTGATAGCAACATTGAAACGTGATTTGTTTTTGTGAACCTCGCGTCGTGTGAAAAGCACTGTACAAATAAACTTGAATTGAATACCAAAAGATCACAATTACAGCTTTTTAAGAATGCTTACAAATATACAATATGGCGGCGTTTGATGTATTGCATCAGGTTTGAGACATGTGAGAACCATGGTGTTATTGACGTCCAACCAGCACCATATTTGCATATAGCTTTGAAAGATCTTTAGCGAATAAAAATGTAAATACCGGTCTGTTCTTCAATCAAAACTTGCGTATGAATAACAAAAGTCATATGAACTATACTGTTATGGTGTTTTTCAGTCACTATATGAAAAGTCATTGTATTAAAAAAAAAAAAAAAAAAGCCATGTGACGATTCTACAGAAATTCTGTTGTTTTCTACTGAAAAAAGAAAGCGTACAAAACTGGAAGAGGATGAAACTGAATTTTTTGGGTGCCTATTCATTCACTTACTGAGAACTTGGGACTGCCACCACGGTAAACTGTGGTTAAACAACTAACTCGAGCACATCAGAGACAGTTCATCCCCTTAACCGGTCAATTACTACACGAGCCCAGATCTTTAACTATTACACTAACCCTTTGACACGGCCAAGACGCTCATTTTAACTTGGTAGAAAGTAAATTTACATTTATTATTATAAAAACTCTAACCTGTGTCCAAGAACTTGTTCATTACGTACATCCAGAGCAGGAGTCCAGCTTGAGAAGGCTTCCGTTGGCTCATTTCTGACGCGAAGACTGTCCACTGCTGTAAAAGATAGATCACGATAGCCTATCTCAGCTGATGAGCGGAATGTGATGGATTCATAAATCAAGTAAACAGAGGCTCGATCAGAGCCAAACTCTTGCGCAATTTCCCACATTAAATCAGCACACTGTGTGTCTGTGTCCAATCACTGGATGTATGGTTTCAGAAAAGTACGGTAGCCTATATGTTTATAAAAAAAAAGGAAAATAAAAATAATAAACAAGTAATACTATTTTATTATTATTATATTATTTAAAGTATCCAAATACATACATAAAAGGAAAAATAAGAATAAGTCGAATTACCAGATGAATGCATGGATTCAGAAAAGTATATTTTTAGAGGCTAAAAAATATAAATAAATAAACAAACAAATAATAAAATATTAATATATTATTATTGTTATTATTAATAATGTGTAAATAAATAAATACACACATACAAGCAATAATAATAATAATAAGTCCATGTTTGAATCCAGAAAGTATTTTTTAGAGGGTAAAAAGTAAAGCAAAATAAAAAATAAGACAATAACACATTAAGATTTTCTAGTCGTTCAGTCAAAACAGATTCACATTTGGCAAGCATGAAAGCGCAAATGATGCAACTTAAATGACTTTTATGGCGGATTTCAACCACAGAACAAAGCGAAAGCAAGAATAACAGCGTAAAGTCGCCATGAGCGCGAGTTTACCTGTGCTGGGTGAAGGCTAAGATGATGAAGAAGAGGAGAAGAGTTGAACGCTGAATCCAACATTTCCAGCCTGCTCTTTAAGTGTCAGGTGTCAGACGCTGATGTAACGCAGACACGCGTGTGGAGCGCCGTGAGGAAGACATCAGTATACGCACGTGTTGAGTGTTGCTACTGTACTACTGTACAACAGGCTATATCATCATTAATAATGGAGTTGGTTATACATCTGGATAATATCGTTCTGGATAATATCGTTCTATCCTAGCTGAAATATAAACGGTTAAAAATATCAAACTTTTATTTTCATGTTTCTTATGCAAATACAATAGCTACGACAAAAATGGGGTCTGATTTTATTTTAATAATAATAATACATTTCATATAAATAGTATGTACATATTCTTATGTTATATATATATATATATATATATATATATATATATATATATATATATATATATATATATATATAATTTTTTTTCAGTGGTTATGCATCAAATATTAATTTCAAATAAAAAATATAGGCCTACAACAAAAACAAACCTAAAATTGAAATGCAACTGTATGATTAAACTATGACTCTACAGTATTTTATGTTCATCTTTTCCTTCAAATGACTCACAAAGCCTTTCAAATACACAGATAGGAAATGGTCATTACACACTGAGATTATTAAGAGAATGATTGGAACATTTTATGCAATCGTGTTTTTCAGCGCAGCTTCTGAACATTTTGAACTTCATAACATTAGTGTGATTATAGTTTTGGGAGTCTTTCTGTTAGAAAAAAAACATAATGGATTAAGATATTTGACAATTATAATAAGGAAAAACTGCAATAGTTTATAAGGAGTCTTAATTATGAAAAGAGAATTGATTGGAATATTAGAATATGAAAATGGTGACTTAAAAACCAAATGAAATCAAACCTTCCTACGACACAGCTGATGTTTAGAGGTTGATAACGCGTCTTCTTAAAGAATATTTGAACAAGATCAGATGTGTTTCGAGCGGTTTATATTACTCAGAGAGAGAGAGAGAGAGAGAGAGAGAGAGAGAGAGAGAGAGAGAGAGAGAGAGAGAGAGAGAGAGAGAGAGAGAGAGAGAGAGAGAGAGAGAGAGAGAGGGAGGGCATGTTTGTTTTCAACTACATCAGATGGAAAACATTCATGTAATTGCAAATCCCACCCAACACCACAAACTCAAAGCCCTCGTGTGATCAATCACTCACACACAAGTGATGCTGGGGGAATATTTCTCATATAGACTGAACACACACACAGGTGCATTCGGTCATTATTAAGAGTCGCCAGTGTTACAAATGCTTGCCATCCTTGAAAAATGCTAAATGTAGCCACATTGAGATGTGCCTTAATTAGCTCAAATTATGCATAGGGAATTTTAATAGTTAATCATGAATATGATTAATATATTGCATATTACAGTTAAATTATCGAAATTGAAAATAGATCGATTGTATATATGAATGGTAAATCATAACGAATTATAATTCCTCATTCATATATCAATGGTCTCATTACAGATCGATTATATGAGACAACGTTAAGGGAATCAATTTAGTTTATCAAACAATCGGTTTGTCCAGCAAACAGCCGTAAGGTTAACTAACCAACTTCTCAACAGGGTTGTCCCTTTTTATAAACTCCGAGAAAGCTCAATGTTCCGGCCGTGAACATTAATTTTCTCGTGTTTATAAAATTTACGTTACTGATATGGTAACAACTTGTAAAGCTTTTATAGCTAAGGATCGCATTTCATTGACTTGTAAAAATATGAGCATTCAAAACAATCAAGAATATAATGGTTTTAATAAAATGAAACTACGGATACAGAATTCTACATTTACACACGGGATACATGTATGTACAGTAAACAGTAAAACTAATGAGACAGACGAACAACAAACAGGAGTGAGAGAGAGAGATTGCGAGAGCGCAAGATTGAGTGAGAGGGAGAGAGAGAGAGAGAGAAAGATGAGAGATCTTCTTGGCACAATTCATCACAGACACAGAACCTTTTGAATTAGAACAAGACTCAACAGATCTTAAATAAGCATAGTGAGACGAATACTTGCACAGGTAAAGCTCTTTTGGTGGGGCTGATCTGAAAAAGGCGTGTGGGTGTATCTCTGTCATGTGGATGCCGAGCGTTCGAGTTCGTCCAGCGAGCGCGGCGTGTTTGAATGTCCTTGTAGGTGAAGCTTGCCAGTCTGGCTGTGTTCATTTTCTTCGCGAGAAGACATGAACAGAGGAGACTTCGAAAAAGATAAAATAAACTTGACGAAAACAAAAGAGAAACGATGGATCATCACACAAAGGCGATGTCCAGACGCACGAGGGGTCACATGATGAAGCCACGAAGAGCAGGAAGAGCCAGGGAGTTTAGGCAGAGAGTTTTCAGGAAACTTTCCGAAGGGTTTCAGCAGACAGACAAGGGAAGCTCGGCGCGTCTCTTTAAGGACACTTAGGTTCACGCCCCTTCTGGCATGAAGGCACCAATCAGCTGGGAGAAAAGTGCCGCGGAAGATTCCTCTTTGTCTTGTCAGGATCATTTATGATGGTATAACATTTTGTCATTCCTACCCAGAAAGATTGTACAGACCGGACAATAGATTTTACAGTAATATCCTATGTATGACTGGTTCGGTCAAAACAAGACGGTCAAACAGCTACCAGACATGGCAGGTAAAAGTAGAAGAACATAGTTACATTCATATGCAGAAGTACAAGCATTTTAAAGTTTCTTCACACGACTATAAAGCCATAATACCTGCTACCATGACCTAGGAAACATCAAATTCATGTTTATGCATTTCTTAAGTGGTTATACTTATAGACAATATAAGATTGCAGAGTCTATTCCTCTTTCTTCATCAGAATTCAAGTGGGAGCTGTGATTTCCCTTGGAATTCCTTTTGGGAGTCATAAAGTCTTGACCCAAGAGGGAGAGTTATAGATCCTTTCCTTAGAAATAAACTTTAAGGTTCGAAGTTACAGAACAGTTAAAACTACATCTATAGAATAAGACAAGACTAATTAGATATGCATGCATACCGGAAGGTTGGATCCAATTTCTGTGTTATACAGTATACATTTATATACACATTATAGGACATTTGTGTGTGTGTGTGTGCAATCAATGTGTGATTGTCCTTCAGCATTCAGGCAGCTTTGTGGACTCTTCCTGTGGGGGGATGCGTGTCCCGTGAGACGGAGGGGTTTGAATGGCTGACTATTTGTTGAAGACAACGCTGGCTTGTTCCAAATGTGTCATGTGCTAGCCATAGTGGCACCAATCTGGTCAACATGCCCGAAGGGGGTCATATACAGAATCCCCCCCTTTGTTTACTCACGAATGGAAGAGACTTTAGTAAATTAGAATCTATTTAATTTACTCCACATACCAGAGCTGGCTTGATTACCTATCTGATTATCACTACATTCCCCCTTTTGGCGGTTTGGCAGGACCCGTGTGGGCGGCCTCGTTAAACCGTCACATTGGTCAGATGGTAGGTAAGTCATGAAAGTAGGATGGCAGGTGGAACCTGATGGTAGGATAGCAGGTAAGTCATGAAGGTCGGATGGCAGGTGGTCGTTAGGACTGAGGGCTCAGCCCGATGAGGTTCGGCGTGGTCTCTGACTTAGCTCCCCCTCTTCCGGGGATGCTGTCTGAGACCTTCAGGCACGGCTTTCGTGAGTTTGGCTGAAGATGTTTGCATCTCGTTGAGTCTCCTTTGCAGAGTGGAGGCCAAACCTAGTGTCAGAGTGTGGCCGGTTACCGTAGAGATGCACCGCGCAGTGTCGGCTGCGGTCCAGGCTTGGACCACAGGTGCGGTAGTCACGACTGGCGGTCGAGACAGAGCTTGGAGGGCTGTGTCGATACGAGCAATGTCAATTCACTGGGACCCCCTTTTGCAAACCACAATTCCCGTTCTGGAGTTAGGGTGACAGTGTGGTTCCTGACGAAGGATGGGGTTTCCAGTTCTAATCTGTACTCTTTGCTTGGAAGATGGAACAATGTCAGGTCATCCAGGTGGAGGATGGCACCTTTCGGTACTTGAAACCACACGCTCTGTTTGAGCAAAGTGACACGGGTGGCAGTGTCATGTTGGTTGTAAGTGAGCGTAGCTGTTCGCACGGGGGTGTTGACGAGCCATCTGTCACCTACAGTCTCTGCTTGTATCTCGGTGACTTGCGTGCGAGGCTTGGCTTCTGCAAGGCAGCGTGTGTTGCTGATCATGGGTTGCAAACCGCAGATTCCGTCAGTGTTGTCTTT